AGTAGCAGCAGTAGTAGTAGTAGTAGTAGTAGTAGTAGTAGTAGTAGTAGTGGTAGTAGTAGTAGTAGTAGTAGTAGTAGTAGTAGTAGTAGTAGTAGCAGTAGCAGTTGCAGTAGTAGTAGTAGTAGTAGTCGTAGTAGTAGTAGTAGTCGTAGTAGTAGTAGTAGTAGTAGTAGTTGTTGTTGTTGTTGTTGCTGCGTGGTTGTTGCGTTGTTGCCCTTGCCCTCGCCACGAACCGCCCGCGACCCACCCCACGACCACCCCCGCGCTCCACCCCGCGACCCATCCGGCAACCCACCGGCGACCCACCCGCAATCCAATTACATTGCTTTAGCGAAACACTGGGCGCCCGCGGCGGGCTTGTTGTAAAAATTCGGCGCCTACGGAAGGTGTCTTCAGAGCTTCGCAGACTGCCGACGATCTCGCCGCCCCCTCACTCTTATCCGCAACTGCGGGGTGCTACGTATATCTGTCACAACGGACCTCGTCGCGGTTGCACGGTGGGGATCAGTCAGCTCTCTCGACCTGACCACTTCATCTTAATCTAAACTGGGAGCTTCCACTAGCAAGTACAGCAATTTGGTTTTTGTGGAGCTTCTGGAGGCGGTGGGGCGGGGGTGGGGGCACGTGTTCTGATGTGACCGCGCGCGTGATGTACCTGTTCGTTGTGGGTATCTTGCTGTTTGTATGTGGCTACGCTTTCGTGTGTGCACGCGCTTGGGTGACGCTTTGTCTGGCTGGTTGGCGGCAGAAGTATGTGCCGAGTGCCCCCATGCCATGCATCGAGACGGGCAACAGGCAACCGTGGTTGTCCCGTGGGTTGTCCCGTGGGTTGTCCCGTGGGTTGTCCCGTGGGTTGTTCCTCGGTTTTCTCCTGATTGTGCAGTTGTTGTCTTGCGGGTTGTCCTGAGGGTTTGTCCCGCGTGGGTTTGTCCCGCTTCTGTCTTTCGAAGCAAATCGACATGCAAATCGAGATACGCATCGAAGTGATGATTGAACTGCACATTGAACGCACATATCCCATCCCAATCGAAGCTAGAAGCGAAACCCATATCGGACTGCGCGTCGAAAGTCAATGTCGAAATGCGAATCAAACTTCAATCGACATACACATCGACATGCACATCGACTTGCCCATCGAGCTGTATATAAGACTACACATCGAAATATCGAACGTCAACTTGACATGCGGATCGAGTTGCAGTCGAAATGCGATCATACATTCGAACGGATTATGTGCAAGCGGAAATCAGATCGATATGAAAGTCGAAACGCACGCCGACCAAAACATATACACAAACATCGGGATGCACATCGACATGCAAGTCCCATTGCAAGCAACATGTAACTCGAAGTGCGAATCCAACTGGGCTGTGAGGTAGACGCTGATCATCAGATCCCGCCCTTGCTGCCATTCTGGTCCATGCGGAATCTGCCCTGGCAGCCTGTCGGCTAGCGAGGGGCTTCACTCAGTTGCTCCTCGGAAGTTGGGCAGACCCGTGATGTCGTGGCCGGCCTGTTGTGGCTTTAAGTTCTGGGGTGTCTCTGGAGTTATCTACGCGTTGTTGCGCTGTGCCTCTGCGTGCAACGGTCGAGATGAGTGGTGCGATCTGCCTCTCAACAGGTTCACCTTTACAGGCACGCACAACTCGGGCTCATTCGATTTGACTCCAGCCAGCTGGACTGGGAGTATACTCGCGGACAACACCGGTGGCGTGGCCCCAGAAGTTCCAGCGGAATTCGGTGAACTGTTCACGAAATGCTATTACAACAACCATTTCCACGACTTCACAGAACAGTTGGACATGGGGGTGCGCTTTTTCAGCGTCGATCTTTGCGACATAGATGACGAGCCATGCCCTGAAAAGGTGTACACATGCCATGGTTCCAAGGGTACCGACGATGATTGGGCAGCTTTTGGGATGAGGCTTACGGACATCTTGCAACATATACAAGATTGGTTAGAGTCGAACCCAACTGAAGTTGTTGCATTCCATATGTCAGATATCTATCTGTCGGCTGCCTCTTTAGACCCATCTGGCGTTTGCGGTTCGGGCAAGGAGGACTCCATGATGTTAGACAAGTTTTTGGTGGATGTGTTTGGTCAGTGCGGTAGCACACTCAGCGACTTGTCGCAGCCTGACCTCGGTAACCGCTCCGTAGGTTGCGCACACTGGGAGATAGGGAACCATACCATACCTACTCTCGGTGACCTGGTGAGGTCGCGTCGTCGGTTACTTTTCGTAGGGAGAAAGGACAGTTGGGTCAAGTACTCGTGGTCACCGACGTATGCCGGCCTTTCCGCGTCAGAGATGGTGAATACTCTTGCCGCATGGTCTGATAGTCACATGCTTCCAGGCGATTTTGACAATGCGATCGACCAGAGTATCTACATCTTCGATGTGTTCAGATCACAAGGCGTCCACGAATCAGTCTCGGAGGAGCTGGCGGATTTTAATGCACAAGCTTGGTTCACTGGGCAAGCTGCGCTCACTGCGCTCAGTGGGATATACGGAAGCTGTAGCTGGATGCTTGCCAAGACCTTGAACGAGGTTGTGTTCCCAGCTTCCGACTACGAGCCAATGTCGGGCAGGATCTGTTTTTCCTGTTTTTTTTCGGTGGCAACTCATGGGATCCTTGTGTGTCCTCACAAGTCTGTCCTTAGAGTGCACTAGCGTGCGCTAGGACCTGGTAGTCCATGAGACAGCGCCGATTTTGCATCGATTTAGCGTCGACCAGCGTCGACCAGCGTCGATTAGCAATATCTGGCGTCGACTCGCAGGAGCTACCAAGGTGGCATGGAAGGCTCCCATGAGTTGCCACCGAACTATTTATCCCTCTGTCTCTCTCTCTCTCTTTTGAAGGCTTGCCAATGCAGTCTACACATCGCCACTCTATAGCCTTGTGCCGGTGTCTGGCGCCGCCCTCGCACGTGCCCATCTTTGTATTTGTGAGTGATCGGTTCCCTTGGTGCCTATCGCAAGTGGCAGTTTTTATCCCCCTGCGATGACGAGCGTGACGGGGGTGGGGGGGAGGGGCCAGTGACATCATGCCGGCGCCGTCTGGGAATGCTTAAGAATTGATATTTCTTGGATTGCGCTGGCACGAATCCGAACGTGATCCGGGGCGGGTGGAGGGGAGGGGGGTGGGGCCAGTCAGAGGCGTTTTCGCGAATAACTGTCAAATGCTCCATATGGTAGTGTTATGATCATGTGAGTTTCCCTGCGCGCTGAAACTCAGGGTTCAGGTGGTAAAGAAGTGCTATTGCGCTGCTCACCCCAAATGAACGTCGTCCAAGAAAGGCTCGTGGCCCTCCGCCAAGCCCGCCTCGCCTCCTGCCTATGCGTCGACTCCCCGAGCGGTCGTCGCCGGCACTTGTCCATCCAAGCCCCATGCCTCCGCGTTGCGCTCCCAGGCCTCCGCACCGCCACAGGTCAGGTCAGGCCTGCGTTCCATTCCCGCGATGGGCGACCACTTGCAGATGCATCGTTGACGCAGCGGCGTTGCGGTGCACTCTGACCCCACTTCCCCCTCTGGCCCCGTGTGGGAGGCCTTCAGCACAGCCGGGCTCGGCCCCGCCGCTGCTGGGCACAGCGCACGATACATGACGGCCGCTTGTCCTCTCCCCCCTGGCGCCCGGAAGGCCAGCGGCGTACAGCCTGTTCGCTGCCTTCCCCCGTTGCTGCCCTCCCACCCCGGGAGGGCCCGGGCGGCCCGTGGGGGGCACCGAACAGTTCTTGCACCTCGGCGCCCGCGACCCGCGGTGTCACACATCTCAGCGGCTGGCTCCCGAAGAGGTCTTTGTCGACAGAGACCTCGCCCCCGGCAGGCAGGCTTGTCTCGACTGGTTGGGATGTACGTCGTATTGTTTTTAGGGGGTTCCTCGGCGCGCGCCGCATGTCGCCTTTGGGGCTGCACTTTGTGATGCGGTGTCCTCCCCCTCCTCCTCCTGCCCATCCTCCTCCTCCTCCTCCTCCTCCGCCTCCTGTCTGGAAGCGTTCCATGAAGGGCCTCGCTGGCCTCGACTTCGAGAGGCCGAGACGTGGGCTGCTCTTCTGCGGCAGAAGGCCGGCGGAAGCATAACGGGGGCGGCTCCGCAGGCGAGAGCTGGCGGAGGTACAGTGATCTACAGCCCCATGAGTTTCTTCGTTGTACAGGGGGGGGGGTGCGACGGCATTGATCAAAGTGGTGTTGGCTTCAGGATGATAGGGCTGTCAGCAGGGCTCCTCAAACAAGGACCCTCACTAAGACGCCGCTCGTGTCAGATCGCCCTGACATGTCCCAGACCCTTCTCTCCCTGCTCTTAATTTGGTGTCCAACTTGCAGAAACAAGGTACTGTCGCTGTCACTTCCCATGCGTCTCTTTCTTTATTCATTGGTTTATATTTGTTACAGTCTTTCTTTTTCCCCCGACGGAGCCAGGAAGAAATCCGGGCCCTCCGCTGACTGACAGACTAAATTGAACTGCGCTGACCTGACTCAACCGCAACCAAGCGACACATTTCAACCCGCCCGCGGTCGCAACCGCAATCGCAACCGCAGCCAGGCAACTGCAATCAAGCGACACATTTCAATTCGCCCGCGGGCGCAACCGCAACCAGGTGACACATTTCAACCCGCCCGCGGGCGCAACCGCAACCGCAACCCGACGACACATTTCAACCCGCCCGCGGGCGCAAACCGCGGGAGAAGGGGAGAGGGAGAGGAGAAAGAGAGGTAGCGGGAAGACGTTGCTGGGCAGGTGGAGGAGGGAAACCCAGTGGCCCGATGGGAAGATGGAGGGCCTGGAGGACGAGAAGGAGAGGGGGAGGAGGAGGAGGAGGAGGAGGAGGAGGAGGAGGAGGAGGAGGAGGAGGAGGACGCGTTGCCCGCGGGTCTCCGCCGGTACATTGCAGCGGGGAATCCCCATTCCACGTTGCTGCCTATGATTTTTTTGTCTGGTCTCTCTCTCTCTCTCGCTCTCTCACTTTCTTTCTTTCTTTCTTTTCCCCTCTCTCTCTCTCTCTGGTTCTACGTATTCACCTTAACGAATGCAGCTCGAATCGATCTAAAAGTGAAGTTAAACAGCGATCACCAGGTATTACGCAGAGAATACAGATTGCGAGGGGAATGGGTTTGGAAATACGTGCTTAGGATATGTCTCGCAACTTGAACAGCTTCACCAAAAGCTCCTCGACATCGGCCGCATTCCCAACTCCATCAACGTCGACTTTTCCCAGTACGGGCATGTATTCGACACAACAGACCGAATCAATTGGGCCAATTGGAGAAGGTTCATGAATAAGAAGGAGCCATCCATCTCTTGGTTCAAGGAATCTGTGGTCACGTATGCTGTCATTGCATTCGTAGTTTTCGTGGTATTCGTGTTCTGCGCTTGGATGTGCTACAAAGGCACGTGTGGCATGGATAAGGTCGCCCAGGAGCTTGCCGACAGAAGGATGTCGAGGGCGATGTGGAAGAACGCGATGAAGCAGAACGAGGCGGCCCCTGACCAGCATGATCCCCAGGATCCTAAGTATGCAAACGAGCCGTGGCCTTTCTGGGCGGGCCGCTGTTCTGCACAGAGGACCCTGAAATTCCTCTTCCACGAGATTCGACGCCTCGAAGCGTAACACGTCCTGAAGATCACGAAGCCTTCGAGCCCACCGTTTTGCTGCATCTCTCGAGCCCTTCTGATCCGAGAGGGCCCCGGGGCCCGAGACAGCGAACACGCCCGGCGCCAACGCATTGCAACGCCCGGACCTCGGGGCTCCCCGCCCCCCTCTCCACTCCCCGTCCCCGTGAGATCGACGGCGGCGGAGTGCACGCCGGGGCCGGGCAGCATAATTCGCTCGGGGTCCAACCCCACGGAACAGCGGCCTGCTGGGAAAGGTCGCAGCTTTCGCCCAGAGGCGATCGGGAGCCCCATGGCCCAATTCGTCGGCGAGTTCAACCACGGCCAGGCCGGAGGACATCCTGTCGCAGCCGGAGGCTTCCGCCACGGCCAGGTCGGGGGGCATCCCGGCACGTGCGTCCAGGTTGTGGGCTTTCACCACGGCCAGGCTGGAGGTTTTGGCTACGGCCAGGCTGGAGGTTTTGGCCACGGCCAGGCTGGAGGGACCCACGCCTACGGCACACCCTGGCCGCAGGCCGGCCACGACAGTGTCCATCTTCAGTTCCAGCCGCAGCTCGGCGGGCAGTTCGTGGGGCATCCTGGCCCCAGCCCGCCCTGGCCACAGCAGGGCCACGCCTGCGCTCCGACCGGCATGGGGGAGCCCCCGCTCGGCGGCTACCTGGCTTCGGCCAAAGAGTAGTTTGCCCCGCGGGGCCGCTCGGACAAGGCAGCGAGCACCGCACCACGCCAGCTCCGGAGTGCACGGCCCTCTGGGAAGGCGCCCCAAACAAGTGCCCCTTCTACAGCGCTTGGACCAGTCCCCCCACGCGCCATACTTTTGTTACAACGTGGACCCCTGGAGGTCTCGACCCATTTCCCTGGCTCAGCTTTTCATCCCGAGTAGTTGTTTGACGGTCCCAGGGCCGAGTGAGGGGAGGGGGCCTCCAGAGTTTCACTGCGCGGCAGGCTTTCGCACTTCCCGGAGGGGCTCCACAGCGATTCCTTCCTTGCCAAGCGGCGTGCAGGCTGTGATATGGATGATCGTTATCGCTGTGAGCGCGGCTCGAACATCTGCGTAGCCAAGACCAAGGGCCTTGAAACGTATTGAGAAAACATGATAGCGCAAGAGCGGGGTGAGAGCAGCACACGCAGGGGCAGGGAAGGAGCGAGAGTTCAGGCCTCGGCAGGGCCCGACAGGGCCTCTGGGAAACCCTCGGGGCTCTCGGGAGTGAGCCTGCTTCACGCCGGCAAGGCCTGGGCATTGTGCGGTTCTCGAGACTTGCGCGGCGAGATCTTGCCTTGCCCTCCCCTCTGGCGACCCAGTTTGTTCGCGACGTGGGCGCCCCGGGATCTCGACCTCTCCCCGCGGATTGTTCCTTGACTCCCGAGCCGCGTTTTGACGGTCCCTGGGGCGGGGAGTATGGCCCCCGCGGAGGCCGAACACGTCGGCAGAAGTTTCCGTCGCGATTTTTGCTCGATGCCCCGACGTCGCAGCATGCGCTCCAGGGTGGCGTTTTTCTCCGGCGCGTGAGACTCCGCGCTGGCCGGGCCGCGCTCTCTCGGGTGCCCAGCTTGCCTCTTACTCTCTTGGGAGCCTCGCGGCAGGACGACGACGACGACGACGACGACGACGACGGCGAGGACGAGGACGAGGACGAGGACGAGGCAGACCTAGGAGGTATTTGGCAGTCTTCGGCCTCTGGGGGTCTTCGCTGGCCCCCAGGACCGTCGCAAGACGACTTAGCGTGAAAAGCCTGCCCTGGGCAAGGGGTTCCAGTTTCTGTGGAGCCCGTGTGGGGCAGAGCAAGAAAACGAATCTCTGGATCATGGTGGGCGCCTTTAGGACCCACCCTGGACTGGGCGCCACACGTGGCCTTCCACAAAAGGCCTCGCCTTCGGCACGTGCTCGCCCTCCTTGGAAGCTGGCGGACATGAATCGGCGGCGGGTTCGCCAGCGGAGTTTGGTGGAAGGCTGGCGGGAGCTGGAGGAAGCTGGCGGAAGTAGAAGATGCGCGCCCAAGCGATGACGACCTTTTTTGGGGCCCAGGGTTTCCAGGGCGGCGCACGTAAGCGACGCAGAGCAACGAGCTCGACTGCCGACACTCGCGCGTAGGCTTCCCGCATGAGGTCGCGTGAGGGCGGCCCCTTCTCCACGCGACGTGTCATTCTGGCGGCCCATTGTCTGCTCGTGTAAGCCTCGCTTCTTGTGGAAGTGGGAGCGCGTGCCTGGTGTGGCCTGGCCTCCGGCACGCCCTCCGCCCTTCTGCCATGCCGGTGCCGAGCTCAGGAGCCTCACCTCCGGCGCCGCCGGAAGACCTGCGTGGCCCGAGAGCTCCCTGGCCGTTCCGCGGCCGCTTCCCCCCTTTCCCGTCTTGCCTCGCCCTCTCCTCCGCACCCGCCGCACTCGAGCTGCGGACGCGCCCCGCTGCGGACGCCGACCGCCACAGACCGCCAAGCGTTCCGTGTGGCCTCGGTGCAGCTTGCCAGCGAGGGCGAGGGTCGGAGTGTGCCTTCGTGCTCCCGGCGGCCGCTCGTGGGGTCGTGTGTTTCGGGGACGGCAGAGAGGGGGGTGATGACTGGGGGGGGTGGATATCATGGCGGGGGCCATGATATCTCCCCAGATATCATGGCGCCTCTTCTCATTCCAACACGTCCCTGGCCCCCCCCCTGGGTCGCGCACGTGACGCCGGCCATGATCTGCCCCCCCCCCTCTTGGACACCCCCCTCTTGGCCGCCCCCGAGTTTTTTTTTTGACGGTTGTTGCACGGCGGCGGCCCACACCTTGTCGGAGGCGCACCGTGGGGATCGAGCACGGCTCGCAGGCCGCAAGGAACGGTCATTTCGATGTTTCCACGGGAGCCCTGGGGCGGCGACTTTGACATCAGCCCCTCTGGCTTTTGGGCAGCACTTGGACCGCATCTGGCGCCTCCTCCTGCTCCCCCTCCTCGTTCCTTCCGTCTCCCTTCGTGAAGGGGCGAATGTTTGGTCCAATTCTTCTTGTCGCAGAGGTGTTCCAGACCTGGCCCAGGTCAGGCCCAGATCGGACCGCGCCGTGGGCCACGCAGGCTTCAATGGAACAGACACCAAAGATACTCAGAGAGTTTCAGGAGGGAAAAACACACAGACACAGTTAACCGTCGGCTCCCAGGAAAACATCGGAAAATAGGGGAAGTGAGGGGCAAGACAAGAACCCAGAACATACGGGAAAAACATAGCGGGAATCTTTTGATTTGTGTCTGTTCATTTGTGTGTCCCAGGGCCCCTTGATAGTTAGCCGACCTTCACGGTGCGGCCTCGAGATGAGCTGGTGTCTTTTCCCGGCACCGGGAAACCTTGCGCGCGGCGCGCTGCGGTCTTCGCGAGGGCGAGGGACTCGGGCGCCGCACACAATACTTTCGCAGCAGTTTTGGCTCCTGCCGCATTCTCGCCTGTCCCTTCTTCTCCGCGCCTCTACTCTGTCCGTGTTCCTCCCAATCTCTCCCCCTTCCTCTCTCTCTCTCTCTCGCTCTCGCTCCCAATCTCTCTCCCTTCCTCTCTCTCTCTCTCTCGCTCTCGCTCTGTCTCTCTCTCTCTCTTTCTGTGTGCCTGTCTCCCTTGGCTGTCTCTGCCGCTGCCTCCGTGTCTCGCTCCTGTCCCTGTCCCCGCCTCTGCTTCTGTCTCTCTTTGTCTCTACCTCTCTCTCTCTCGCGCTCTCTCTCCTCCCGCAGGCCTAGAGGTTGACACCAACACCAATACCGGCGGTGTTCCTCCACCGCCGGAAGAGGATCCCGATCTCGGTGATGGTGGTAATATTCTGGCTTCCAAGGTGACCGAAGTATTACCACCAACACCGAAATCTAGGATCATCTTCCCCCTGTGGGGGCAACCCCCTGTGTTGGTGTTGGTGCCCATTTCCAGGCCTTCAATCCTCGGCTCCTCAGAACTCGACCCCCAGGACCTCTGCAGGGGGTGCCAGGGTGCGAGGGGTGCGTCTTGACCAACATCCCTGGGCCGACCCAGCCGTGGCGACGAGAATCCCTCCAGAGGCCCCACAAAGGCCACACGAGATCCGAACACGTCCATCCTCGAAATTGCGTCGGTCGCCGCAGCCGAGGCCTTCAGCGCTCCCCATCCCCTTCCATGCCGTCTTGGTTTCTGCGCCCCGTTGCCGCCGAAGAGTCTTGCGTCCTGTCGTGTGTCCTCAGCGCAGTCCCAGGGGGTCGTGTTGGTAAATGTCGCCCATCCCCGTCCTTTCCTCCTCTGTCTCCCTGTCTTCCTCCCTCCCGCCTCCTCCCCCTGCTCCTCCCTCTCTTCCTCTTCCTCCCCCTCCTCCCCCTCCTCCCCCTCCCGCTCCTCCCCCTGGTCTCCCTCTTCCTCCCTCCTGCTCCTCCCCCTCCTCCCTGCCGCGCGGCTGCCGCCGCTGCTCCCCCGCTTTCCTCCAGTCTGCCTCATTTCGGCAGTTCTCCGGTGGCTCTCTGGTGGCGTCGGCCTGGACTTCACTCTGCTCGTTGCCCTCCTCGTCGTGCTTCCTCCCCTCCTCTGCGCCTGTCCTTCTCCTGCTGTGCCCCATTCGGCCCCGAAGCGTCCCTCGGCTGCCCCGACCGCGTCTTGGACCCAGGTCGCTGGTGGACCAAACAGTTGCCCTCCTCCTCCTCCTCCTCCTCCTCCTCCTCCTCCTCCTCCTCCTCCTCCTCCTCCTCCTCCTCCTCCTCCTCCTCCTCCTCCACCCCCCCCCCCCGCCCGCCCCCCCCGCTCCCTCCCCTCCCCCCCTCCCCGCCCCTCCCCCCCCCCTTCCCCCCCTCCCCTCCCCTCCCCTCCCCTCCCCTCCCCTCCCCCCCTCCCCTCCCCCCCTCCCTTCCCCTTCCCCTCCCCTCCCCTCCCCTCCCCCCCCCCTCCCTTCCCCTCCCCCTCCCCTCCCTCCCCTCCCTCTTCCCTCCTCCCTCCGCCTCCCTGCCCGCCCGTGCGCGCGCTCCCGCGGGGGAGCGACGCCCCGCGCCTGCCTCGGGCACTCGGCTTGGGCAGCCGCCCTCGCAGGCATGGCCTGCAGTCGGCGCCCAGCTCGGCGGGGGGGGAGGGGGAGGGGGCGGGCCTTCCTCCTCCTCCTCCTCCTCCTCCTCCTCTTCCTCCTCCTCCTCCTCCTCCTCCTCCTCCTCCTCCTCTTCGTCCGTTGCCATGTTGGCTCAAGGTGGGGGCAGGCCCCATTGGAGTGCGGCAGCTCACGTCCGAGGGATGTCCTGGTTTCAGCCCCAGGCGGTCAGCCGTGCTGCTTTTCGCTCCCCTTCCTGCGGGGCGCCTCGCATTTTGTGAAGACCAGTCGCTGTGTCTGATGGCTCTCGATGCCGCCGCGATGCGTGAGCTGCTTCAAGGAGAGTTCATACCCATTCAGTTGCAGATCGGCACCCTCTCCAGCACCATCACAGAGAACATGCATAACATCCAGAAGCTGGACTCGAGCGTCAATGGGCGCCTGGATGCCTTCGGCAAGGACGTGAGTGACTTGCGCGAGCAGCTCAACGCCTCTGCTGCTCGCATGGCTGCCATCGAGATGCGCTCCGCATTCGGCAGCTCCCCTGTCGACCGAGCTTGGGAGGGCGTCTCGGGCGATGACGGCGACCACTACGGAGGTGCACCTCGCAGACCGCCCGTTTCAGCCGCTGCTGATGCTGAGTTTGCTGCTCGAGTGCAGAAGTTGGGAAGTATGATTGCTGAACGTTCCACAGTGGCTTCTAGCAGTGGGGCTCCTGGCGGTGCTGGCTCCTCTCGTGGCGATCCATGGTCTTCGTTTTCTCATGCGTCGGCTCGTGGGCCCTCCCGCTCGAGCGGTCAGAGTGACGAAGGTCGCAATCGCAAGAAGATATGGATTCGAGGTTTCCCTAGGAAAATGATGGCCACCACCTTCCAAAACCACTTCCTTGTAATCAAATCGAACATGGCCAGGGAATACACAGATAAGTGTACGGTACAGGCGCAGACTGTCAAATACAGTTGCGCCATTCAGTTCGAGGATGAGGACGGTGCCCTGCTCTTCCATGCGGCCGCGCGTGCTGATCCTACTTTCCTGACTTGGACTGATCCTCGTGAGGGTGCCGTGGTTTCTCTGAGGGCTGGTTGGGAACAACCTTTACCGGTACGCCATTGATCGTTAGCCTACGGGCAGTGTTGGCAAATTGTTCACCATGCTATGAAACTGGGGGGCTTGTGGCTCCCTGGCATGAGGCTGGGCTCCAATCCGCTTGACATCCCTCCAACTGCTGCCGAGGACGTCTGGAGCTTGGTGAAGACCACCCAGAATGAGGGCGAGCTCGGTTCTTTCATTGCCCCTCCTCAGAGTGATATGTTGGAAGTTGGTTCCTCTCAGGAATTCGTCGACGCGTTGGTCTCGGTGCTCATCGCCAAGCAGCGCTAGGGAAATGTCGAGCTGGAGACGGGCATGAGCACTTCTCTTGGGAGACGCACTCCTGCACAGTGACGTGGGGCTCCACGTGTGGGTGCTCTTGCAGTGAAGGCGCGTCTGTGTGTGCCCTCCCCTCCCCCCTCCTCGCCTTCCTTGTCGTCCTCTTCCTCCTCTTCCTTCTCCTCCTGCTCGCCGTGCGACGTGTGTGCTCGCGCTCAGCCTGGTTTATTTCAGCCGATCTCTGATTCGTGGAGGGTGCCGTTTCCCTTGACTGAAGGTATTGGGGTTGTGTCCTGGAATTCGCAAGCTTTGTTGGGATCTGTGTATGCCAATCACCAGCGTCAGTGCCGCAAGTATGCGAGGTCCAGAAGCCTCGTTGAGAAGTATCCAGTAATATCTACGCAGGAGACACAGGGTACTTATGAGGATCTGGAGTCTTTGAGGCGCGACTTCCCCTCCCACCGCCGCATGGGTAGTTTATGCAGTCCCTCGAAGGCTGGTGGCGTGATCGCGTCTATCTCGAAACGTCTCGTTCAGAAGTTCTCGGCCGCTCGAGTTTCTCAGGTATCTAAAGGTTGTGTTCTTATGGTTCGGCTCCTTGGGCCAGCTTGTCAACTCGTTCTCGGCAGTGTGCATATGGGCCCGCCGCTATCAGCTGGAAGCGCTAATCGCGTCTTGCTGCGTCTCCGCCGCGGTGTGCCTGTTCGGTCGAAAAGTCTCCCCTGTCTCGGTGGCGATTGGAATTTTCCTGAAGCTGATGGGTATAGACAGGCTAGCGGCGGCAGCATCACCATTCCTCCTGAAGATAGTGTGACTCTCATCAGGGTTGCCCAGGGAGAGCCTAACCATCGTATCTTTATTGGCGATTTTGTCCTCTCTGTTTGCCGTCCCGACCGTATTTATTGGCCTGCGCCGACGGCGGAGATTCTAGATTGGCACGCCCGCTCGGATGTCATTGGGCTCGTTCGCGGCAGAAATGGGTGTTCTGATCGTATTCCCGTCATTGTTCAGGTTGCTCCTGGGGCTGGTCCTCCGTCTCTGCAGCGATGGGCTTCCTCGCATCCTGGTTTCCCTGAGCTGGTTGAACATGTCTTGGGCGAGTTCGGGCTGAGTGATGGCCCATTTGTATGCTTGCAGGAGTGCAAGGCTGCCCTGTTCGCTGCCAGAAACACTCTGATTCGCCAGATGTGCTGTCAGGGGCCTGCTGATGGACGTCAGCAGATTGCCTTATGCTTCAGGTTTATGCGTGCCGCTCGCGTTCGCAGACACGCCCAGCTCCAAGCCTGCCTTCGCGCCCTGTCTGCTCTCAGCTCGTTCTACGATTTCCATGCCAGGTTCTACTCAGACTATGATGGGATCCATGAATACCGCAGGTCCCTCAATGCCGATATGATATCATCCATGGTGCTTAACGATTGCACTGCTGCTGCTGACCTACATGTTTGTTAACGGGCCTTCTTAGAGTGCGTGTAGGTAGGGCCGTGCATATATGACCCCCTCCATCGGGCCTCGGTGGGGCGGGTGGGGGGTGGGGCAGCGAGAGTGTGCTCAGAGCTGCGAGAGACAGTCCATTGTTGTTTGGGCTCTAGCTTTTATCAGGAAGGCGCCTCTCGACCTCCACCGCGCGGCCCCTCCGCGCGGCCTCGGCAGCCGCGAAGTTCTCGTGGGTGGCCGCGTGCGTGCTGGGCACCTCGCTGTGCTGCGGGGGCGCGGTGGGCGACTGGGTGGACTAGCGCTCGAGGTCTCGAGTCTTATTGCTGGTGCGACTCCATCGCAGACGGTGCTGAGAGCGACGGCTGCTCTGACGACGAAGAGGAGATCGACAAGACGAGCGAGGAGCAGCACGTGCAACCGCAGATATAGATTAGAGCCCGCTATCGGCCGCGAGCCGACGACAATAATGGATTTGTCATGCTGCTGGTGACTCGTTTCGCGCTGAGACGGGGGAGAAGCGCCTGGTGGCTATCGATCCGACTGGGCGGCTCCAGGTGGTGGATCTCTCGTCCACAACCGAGGTGAAGCCCACCAGGTTCGCAAGCGCGGACCACGGCAGCTTCCTGGGCATGTCCAGCCGGGAGAAGGGCATGGCCGTGGAGGCGGCCGACCACGTCATATCTTCGGGAGCCTCGACGACGACGGCCACGATCTCGAGGGACTACCAGCGCAAGAACTCCACCATGAGGAAAGGTCACCGACGCCACTTCGTGACTTAGGCGGCGAAGATTGCGAGCAACACCGTCGGCTACATGTGGGCTCGGCGGAGCTTCGGAGGTTTCGCTGGATCTACTATTGTGTGGCGCGTGCGTGCTTCGACGCGATCGAGTGGATCAAGTGGGCCTACTCGAGCGCCGAGGAGACCATCGACACGGTCGAGGGCTTAAAGGGGGAGTGCGAGCACATCCTGGAGCTGCACGAGCCGGGGGTGCTGGGGCCGCTGTACATGTCGGTATGTATCATGTTCGTGGTCGGTGTGATTGGGGCGTGCTGCGGGCGACGAGAGGGTTCGGGTCGCCCATCGTCCAGCGGGCGCTCGGAGGTGGTGGCGCCTACGTTGTGGCAGCAGCTGTCGCCGTGGTCGCCCACGGCGTCCGTCGGCTCGTCGGCTTCCCCGACGCCCCGCGACGAGGGCACCGACGGTGCCGCGCCGTGATACCCGACGAGGAGGGCGAGCCGAGCGAGTCCGACTTGGCGAAGCAGCTGAGCGTGGTGGCGGACAGGCTCGCGGCGTTGGAGATCAAGAGCTCACAGCCCCCTCTGCCGCCTCCCGCTGCGCCTCCTCCGACGAGGTCGGCCCCCTCTCCGTCAACGGGCTGTGGCGGGAACCTGGGGGTGGATTCGGGCGCGAACTGCGACCAGATGGTGCCCCAGCTGCTCGAGCGACTCGACAGGCGCAAGGAGATCGTCCAGGCTGGCAGCCAGGCAGCGACAGCACGCACTCCTCCCCGAGCCCAGGAGGTGACGGTCAGGGATCCCGAAGTCGCGGCGCTGGTGCGAGGTCAGGGCGACTCCTTCAAGGATATGCGCGTCATGGCGAAGGAGAAGTTGGAGGCTGTCAGCCCGACCGTGAGCAGGGCGATCCCTGGGGGCGTCAAGGCCCGCGTCGCTCCAGCCATGGTGGCTCGCCTCTACGGGATCGGGGCGGCGCCGTCTCCGCGATCCGCGGGATCACCCGCCTCGAGCAGCTGGGGCGGGGGGGGGGGGACCACGTGGCCGAGGAGATGATGCTCATAGGGATGATGATCGACCGCTCCATGATCGAGGCCCCCCCCGAGTTCATCAACTACAAACGACGGGGCTTCCGCGTCGGAGGCTGCGCGGGATCGAGCGGGCCTTCGAGGATGTAACGCAGCGCCGCGAATGGGGGCCTCCGAACGGCGCGAAGCAGGGCTGGCAGTCGAGGATCAACTACCGCGTGCTGGAGGAGCTCGACGCGTCCAAGGCCGACCAGGAAGGGGCCCTGATCGACGGCGTGGAGAAGGAGCTGCGCGAGCAGCTCGCGCATCGCGCTCTGCTCGCCAAGCCCCTCGGCAAGCTCCACGACCACAAGAGCGCGTCGACGAAGGAGGACGAGTAGCTGGTCGAGGAAGGTTCCTGTTCAGGCGCCGGGCCCAGGCCGGGCGCGTCGCTCGTGCGGTGCTGATCCTGATCGGCGCCGCCCACCTCACCAACGTGCGCGACAGCGTTCTTTTCATAATTCCTCATTGACGTGAGAGCGGGGTGCGTGTTTCCGTCAGGCGGTCGAGTCAGAGACCCGCTGGAGGTGCTCCCGCTCTTAGCCCTGCCCGAGCCCACCTCGTCGACCTCAGAGCGATCGAGGTCGCGGGCCGCTCGGGAGAGGGCGGAGCGGGCTCGGGCGAATGCTGCTCCGAGGTCCTTGACGGCTCCCACCGTTGGCCGCTGCGATCAGCTTCGAGACGCCGCGTGGGGCAGTGCGACCGACTGGGCGAGAAGCCGCGAGTTGCCGCGGATGCTCTCGGAGAGGGTGCTGGAGTGCCATCGGGGGGCCCACGACCTGAATATGTACGCTTCCGACGCCGAGTTCGCTTTCGAGCGGCTGGCTTTGCGTGCCAAAGCTGGGGCCTGCGTGGCCTTAGCTGCGTCGGGCGACGACGGGGGGGCGCCGCCGGGTGGCGAGGTGATGCCCATCGCGAGCGGCGAGGCGACTCTGCCGCCAGCTGGGGCGGAGCCGTGCGACATCAAGCCGGTCTCGCCGAAGGCCAGGCGCTATGTCGACAGGTTCCACGAGAGGATGGCCCTGCCGCCGAGCCAGGTGGACGAGGCCGACATCGAGGCCGTGCGCTCCCGCGCCGACCCGGGCTTCCGCCAGCGAGCTGCGCGCTTAGATTTTGCGGTGCGCCTGTGGGGGGCTTGGATGCTCGGGTTCACCCGCGATTGCAAGGTCGAGGTGGCCGTGTTTTTCGTGATGGGGGGGGCGCGCGAGGACGGGGTCTGCGTGCGGAGGCCCGCGTGGGACATGAGGCGCGTGAGCATGCGCTTCAGGAGCCCGCCGCGCCTCAACCTAGGGCCCCCGTGGCGATGGCGGAGCATGACCTGTCCGACGCTGTGACGCAGGGCCGAGTTCTGAAGTCGACGTGGGGCGACGTGCCCGACTTTTTTCACAGGTGCCGCAACTGTGCCGAACTGTGGCCCTACATGGTGTGCGGCGGTGTCTCGATCGACGAGTTCGTGAAGGAGCTCAGGAGGCGGCGGATGAAGCTGCCCGGCGCGCCGAGCGGATGCCGATATCTCTGTCTTGTCGTGATGCTGATGGGTTTCAGCTGGTCGCCAGCGATCTGCCGCGGAGCGCTGGAGGATTTGATGTGTGACCTGCCTGGTTCTCCTCGTCGCGGCCGGCTGACCCGCGGTCTGATACCCCCGGGCTTCGCCGAGGTTGCCTTCATATATTGGGTTTTTTTTATTCGCGACTTCGCCTCGCTGACTCTCGTGCACGAGAGCGATGAGACGACCGCGGAGACGGTGAAGGAGGCGGCTCGGACGAAGCTGCAGGAGGTGGGCCTGGACATGCACAAAGATGGAGTCGGGGATGCATTGCCCCTCTCTCTTGGAGATGCGATCACCGAGCAGCCGTGCCGATTCGTGGCTTCCAGGGAGAAATCCAGAACGTTATTGGGGCAACTGGAGCTGTCATGGCTCGGGGCCGAGCGACGTCTCAGGAGTTGTCCCGTATCGTTGGCTCGTGGGTCTGGCTTGCGATGTTGTCGACCCGCCTTTTGCCTGCTGGGCGCTTGCTACAAGTTCGCGACGAAGTTCGAGGGCGACCAGACCAGGCGCGAGCTCTGGGAGAGCGCACTGAACGAGCTGCGCATGCCATGCCACCTCGCACCCCTGATGTACACGCACCTGGAGCCCCGCTGGAGCGAGGTCGTGTTCGCGACCGACGCGAGCGAGGCCAGCATGGGCGCGGTGGAGACCCAGGCGACAAGGAGCGAGGTCAAGGCAGAGGTGGACCGACAGTGGAGACTCCAGCAGCTGCGCGAGATGGCCGGGGACGAGGAGGAGGAGGAGCTACTGCTGAAAGGCGACGACTGGGAATGTTCCAAGCGGGGAATCCCGAACACCAGCGGCGAGTGCGACGTCCCCCCGCAGCCGCTGATGGCCGACGTCTTCGCGGGCTACGGCGGGTTCGGAGAGGAGATGCGGAGCGAGTGCCAGTGCGAGACCCTCTTCGTGGACAACGCTCGCAACCCGCGCCGCGACCTCACAGGCCCGTCGTTCGGCGAGCTCACGTGCCGAGCCATTCTGTTCGGCCTCTTCTTCACGGTGCACATGGCTCCTCCATGCTCGTCCTTTTCCAGGGCGCGGAGGCCGGCGATTCGGGCACCTGGGCGCTGGATTCGAGGGCTCCCTGGGCTGTCCCCGCCCCGGGTGCAGCGTGTCCGCGAGGGCGGCTCCTTGGCGCGGGCAGCTATCTCCATGTGCTTCCCGCGCCTGGCTGCATGCGTTGGTTTCTCCCTTGAGAACCCCAGTGCCTCGATGATCTGGGGGCTGCCCGAGATGGCGAAGCTGATGGAGCAAGCGGGCGTCGTTGCGGCGAAGCTGGTGTGCGGTTTTTTCGGGGCGAGTGCTCGCGAACGTGGAAAGTCTGAGGGAGCTGGCGCGCCGATGCTCTCGAGACCATCCTCATCAGGAGCTCCGAGGGCAACGCGCCGAAGGGCAGCTGCGGACCAGGCTCGCCGCCGTCTGCCATCCTCTGCAATGCAGCCCCTGCGCCAAGCTGGTCAGACAGGCGATCGAGGCCAAGCGGTTGGAGCTGCACAGCTGGCGAGTTCAAGAAGTTCGGAGCCCGCCGGAGAAGCCCAGAGCGGTCATGGACCACTGGGCGAGTTTATCGAGATGGCACCTGTCGTGGAAGGGAGAGTGGGCATACGAGGCCCACGTCAATGTGCAGGAGATGAGGACGGTGTCCTCAGTGGCGAGTCATCTATGCAGGCCTTCGAGGTGCTGGTTCAGTTGTTTTCTGGTGCTGTGCGATTCCATGGTCACTGTCGGAGCTGTTCGCAAGATGAGGAGCTCCTCCTGGCCGTTGATGACGAAGCTGAGGAAGATCGGAGCTATTTCGCTAGCGACGGGAGCGAGGCTCACCCCGAGATGGACCCCGACCAACATGAATCCAGCAGACGGCCCGTCGCGAGGGGAAGGGGTCGGCAGCGCGGAGATCACGCAGGCGAAGTGCGAGCAGAAGAAGTCCATCCTGAGCGACCAGTACCGTTTCGAGAGGCTCGTGGGCGACCAGCTGGAGATCAAGGGCATGCGCGACGACTGCGCCCAGGCTTGGCATCTCTAGGCGCGCTGCCTGGGCAGACAAAGGGATCGAGCAAGAAGTCCGCGAAGAGCAATAAGTTGATCAAGGAAAGGGCGCGAGCTCCCCCAGCTGGGCAGCGTCGACTCTTCGTGCCTATGAAGAAGAAGTGGCCCCTGGCGTTCGAGAATGCCGCGGCGGAGAAGCCCGTCGGCAGGAGCTCGCTAGGACGCGAGCAGCTCGAGCGCCCCTTGAGGCTCTTGATCCACGCGGTGCAGGGCGACGCGAACAAGGGGTATCTCAAGGGGGTGGAGCCGTTTCTTCGCGACGTGTTCCACAAGCGCCTGCCCTCCTCGACTCCAGGGCAGCGGGACATCGCGGTGGCCGCCGATCTGGGCAACCGGTGCTTCGTGGAGCGCCCCCCCCAACCGAGGGATCAAGGTCTACCGCGGCCTGATGCGCATCTTCCCCGAGTGGAGGTCCGAGATGCCGATCGCGCTGCGGGCTCTTCACAGCTGGGAGAAGTATCGACAGGCGTGGGAAAGGGGGGCCAGCATCCATCGATGCCATCTACTACATAGCACGAGAGGCAGTTCGCAGGGGCCACGTCGACGAGGGCACGTTTTGCCTTGTTCGCGTGCGACTGCTACCTGCGAGAGCAAGACTGACTACAGCTGAGGGCGGAAGACGTGCGCGTCAGCTACGGTGACTCCACGGACCCAAGGACGATCAAGGTGGCCATCCTGTTGGGGCGACGTCATCGAGGCGAGAGCAAGGAGTGGCCATAGACGACCTGGGGATCGCCATCGTCATTGCTGAGCGTGTGAAGGCACTGGGCAAGCAGGCCCTGGTGTTCGAGACCGCGGCGACCCGTGCTGGGTCAGCGTGGAGACAGATTGTGCTGCTCCGCCCCGTGCCCGACGCCAGCCCCTGGAGCTCGGCCGCCAAGGCAGCCGGCGACATCTACGGCGAGTGCGGCTCCCAGGCCTTCGAGCCCCTGGATGAGTCGGACTGAGACGTGACGGCTTCGCCGTGTGCACCTCCCGTCCAGCAGCCTGCTGCAGAGCGGTCCTCCTCTGTCCTCGTCCCCCCCTCGCCTCCGTACTGTGCATAAAGCGTCCCACCCTCCCAAATCTCAATTCTACAGTGCAAACCGAGGTTGCGGGGTGTGGGGGTGTTTTCCTGAAAGCTGGCCCTCGGCAGCCTTGCCGTATTGTGCCCTGGTGATCCTGGGCCCCTCTCGAGGCCCAGCTGCCGCCGTCGGCGGCATGGGGGACTTCGGAGCAGCATTCTTCCGTGCTGCGGTGAGTGTGGGAAAACAATCTCTCTGGCCATCTCATCGCACCGTCTCAGAATGCGTGTTTGTTAATGGGCTTTCTTAGAGTGCGCGTAGGTAGGGCCGTGAATCTATGACCCCCCCCTCGGGCCCCGGTGGGGCGGAGGGGGGTGGGGCAGCGAGAGTGTACTCAGAGCTGCGAGAGAGTTGTTTGGCCTCTAGCTTCCCGGCCCGCCCCCCCAGGGGTGTTTTCCTGAAAGCTGGTCCTCAGCAGCCTTGCCCTTGCTGGTGCCCTGGTGATCCGGGGCTCCTCTCGAGGCCCAGCTGCCGCCGTCGGCGGCGTGGGAACCTGCAGGGCAGCGTGCGTCCGTGCTGCGGTGAGCGTGGGAAAAACGATATCTCTGGCCATCTCGTCGCGCCGTCTCAGAAGCCCCGATGTTGCGCGTCAAGCAAGGATGCAGGCTTTGATGAGGTCGGGGTCTTTGAAGCGACGCAAGCTTGCCGCGTTCGCCGTTGGATGCCCTCTGGGTCCTTCGCCGCCGTCGATTCAGCGGTCATCGCGTAATCTGGCCGAGTTTTGGAGTGAGGTGCATCGTGCCCCTGTCCGTGCCCCCCCCCCCCCCTCTTTGTGTGCTTGCTGGTCTTGCTAGCGAATTTCAGCGTGTTCCCCCTGGTATCTCCTGGGGGCTGGGGGGGTTCGAGCTTCGGTCAGTTATCGCGAATCGCAAGGGCTCTGCCACTGGGCCCGACGGGATTTCTTACAGGTGGGGGAGAAAACGGTGGTCCTTTGGTCCAGCATTGTCTCTACAAGGCCTATGGTGCTTCGTTGCCGTGCTCCTCCCGTGGGGTTTAACAACGGCGTGCTTGTTTTTCTTCCCGAGGTCGACATTTCGGATGGCGAAGTTAAATCTATCCTGGGGCCTAGAAGCGAACTCGTGACCTTACCCTCAGCAGCTGGGATAACATGCCCTTGTCGGCTGCCCTCGCCGCCCCCTTCCAGAATGAGGCTCGGTACTCGATCGCGTCGTGCTAGCGTTGTTTCATTCGTCGCCGCGCTCTCCTGGACAATGTTGCCGACTTGGAGTCCTGGTTTATTGAATGGGCGTGTTTTCGCGGGATGGAGTTTCCTGGCATGATGTTCCTGGATATTGCGTCGGCGTTCCCAGGCATACTGCATGGGTGGGTCTTCCATGTGCTTCAGGTGCTCGGGGTCCCATCTCACGTTGTGCATGCTGTCCGCTCGCTTGGCGATGACATCTATGTCTCCGTTCCTTTCTGTGGCTCCATCTTTCCTGGCATTCATATCTCTCGTGGAATGAAGCAAGGGTTTCCTCTCTCGGCTTTGCTGTTTGTTGTGGTTTTCGATCCCGTGGTTCGTGGTCTACGTCGGCGCCTTGGAGGGCATCCCGCTTGCCCCCTTGCGTGTGCTGACGATATCGGTATTACTACTGGTGGTCTCTCGAAGTCTATTCCCGTTGTTCTCGATTGGATGCAGAGTGCCGGTTTTGTCGCGGGACTCAAGCTGAACGGTGGCCAACGCTGGATATTAATCTCGAAGGATGGCGACCCTGGCGCTCTCTCTGGTATCCTAGCTGCATTCGGCATTCCTTTTTGCCAATTTTGTGTTGGTATCAGCGCAACGGGCCTCGGTGTTTTCCTTGGCAGCGATGGATCTGACGTATCCTGGAGAGCTCCATGTCAGGAGTTATTTGAGAGAGTTGCTCGTGCCCGCTCTTGGAGGATTTCGATGATTCAGAAAACCCGCGCATATAACTCTTTGGCGCAGCCGGTCCTATCTCGCATAAGCGAGTTTTATGTGATCAACTCCCGTGCCGCCGCTGCAAACCATTCTGCCCTTCAAAGATTGTCGGCCGGCCCGCGGCATGCTATATCCACTTGCCTCCTCACGAACCTCGACCGGTTCGGCATCGATGCAGTTCCGCGCGACATCTCCTGTGAGCATCAGGCCGCTCTTTACCGCGCTGCTGCTCGTAGCTCTGTGTTTGCCGATATTTCAGTTCGCTTCCATCGTATTGCGCATTCTGCTTTAGACGTTCCTGCCGTCCCTCGTATGTCTCTGTTGTGGAAGGAATCAGTTACCTTCACTAGGCTTGACAATTGCCGCAGGCTGGCCGCCATAGCTCCCCATCTCGTTGATGAAGACATCATTGGCGTCCAGAGGAACATGTTCAAGGTTTTGAGACGTCGGCGTGAGGTCCCTTCCGTGGCTCTACTCTTGGGGCTCTGTATTCGGTACTTCTGGCCTGACGTCCCTCATGAGGTTCCTGATGCTGCTTCCAGATTCGCGCACCTTTCTGGTTAAGCATGCTGGCCCTCATGCGGCCGTGTCGTACATCGAGAGTATTTGCAATGCGTGGCCCACTACTCGACGGTTCTGTCAGGGGACTCTTTCGTGCCGTTTCGGGTGCGAGGCCTTCGTCGGTGAGTATCCTCCCTAGTGTGCTGCCTCTTTTGCCTACAGACTATTACGTACGTGCTAGACATGAACATCTGTTTTGCGTTTTCGGGACCCCCTTTACCAATGAAGGACAAATTTCGGCTCTTGGTTGTGCACTCTGTGCAGAGCGTGTGCGCGTGTGTTGGCTCGCCGCAAAGCGGGCGTCCGTTTCCTGCTGCAGCGTCGTCGGCCGCAGCCTCCCGATGGGCCTCATCCCGCTGGCAGGCCAGCGCCCGCCGCCGCGGGGGACTGGACCCATTTGCCTTCTTCTCGTTCTTGCTCTTGTCCGCCTGCCCTCGTTTATTTGCTATGCCCGTGCGCTCCTCCCCCTCCTCCTTCTCCTCCTCCTCCTCCTCCTCCTCCTCCTCCTTCTGTTCTAAGGCTCAGAAGTGGGTGCCAATCCTTCTGAGGAGTTTTCCAAGCGTTCCCCGAAGACGCAGGGCGCCCCTCCGAAGGCCGTGGGGCTTCTGAGAGGCCCCGCCGCCTTCTTAGAGGGCCTTCGGCTTCTCATCCCCCTCCGTGGCTCGCCGCCGATTCGTGGCCTCCGCCGCGTTGCCCACCCTCGCTCGTGGCGCGAAGGGTCTCCCGACCTGGAGCCGCCCCGGGCTCTGGGCTCTGAGGCGGCCCAGCGCGGGTGCGGGCCAGCGGGAGGCGGGCAGGTCCGAGGTTCTGGGTTCGGGCAGGGCTTGCTTGCATTTCCAGGACCGGGAAGAAATAGTCCAGGGTTTCGACAGATGGCGCCCGATGGACTCCATGAGGTCCGGGGACAGATTTCGACCGGATTTGTCTCCACCCCCCCTTCCTGACTGATCCTCCGGGGTCTCAACCTCGCCGCCCACCAAGCCGCCCCAACCCAACCCCTCCAATGCCAGTCGGTGGGTGGGTGGGTGGGTGGGGGGGGGCGTCGGGAATCAGAAAAAACATGCATGGAACCCATGCCTCCCCCCCCCACCCGAAGTTCGGGTCTTCGGGTTGGGTTGGGGTGGACTGGTAGGCAGTCGCGACCAGTTCAGATTCCCCAGCCGCCTCCAGCGCCCGACTTCCCCCCGACACCCCGGCGCCGTGCAAAAGCGTCGCAGCGGCGCCGAGGCCCCGTGAACGGGGGCCTCGGCAGGACGACGCCGGCGCGTTCCCGCGCAGACTTCCAGCCGCGGGTCGACAAGCACTCCCCTTCGGTTGCAAACCATGGGAGCCAGGCGTGCTCTCTTAATTCCGTGTTTAGCGTCGATCAGTTTCGATTGGCGCCTTGGAGTCGATGAGATAGCGCCGATTGAGCGTCGGCTAGCGTCGATTGCGTCGAGTCGGCGTCGATCTGCGTCGATATGCGCTGATTATCAGGAGCCGACGAGCTGTATGGACGGCTCCACTGAGGTGCCACCGATCTCTCCACTGTTCGTCCTGGGCAGTCCCGGGCGGCGGGGCCCCGTCGACGTGCGGAGCCACGCGGAGCTCCCGGCCCGATGCTGCCGCTCGACGGCCCCCCCCCCGCCCGCGACCGGGGACCGGGGCCGCGCCTGCCGAGGGCCCCCGCGGTCCGAGGTGAGGCAGAAGAGCGCTGTGGTCTCCGGGCTGCCCAGGTGGGGTCCGCGCAGGTGGCGTCGAAGGATCGCTCCGCACTGCCGATGCATCGGCGATGCGGCTCGATGTCGAGCCCGCGTTTCTCCGCGCGCCGACGTCGTGGATGCGTCGCCGATGCGTCGCCGATGTATCGCCGATGCATCGGCGATGCGACGCGATCTTTCGACCGCGCCTACTCGGACTCCATTCGGGGGGCCTCTGTTGTCGGCCTGCACCTGCGCGCGGCAGCGACCTCGTGGGGGCGCGGGAAGCACCGCTATCGCATGCGCAGTGCCAGCGGGCGGCAGGCTGGACCACCCAGAGGTCCCAGCCTGCCCATATTAGGGGCGGCGCCAGGTTTTCTTGGCCTGTGGGCGTGAGGGGCGCTTTTCGAGGTTCTGGGTCTTCGGGCGTCGGCGTTGAGACCTGGAGGTTTTCCAGCTTCGGGATGCTCTCCGACAGCTGCGCCTCGCCGAGAGCGTCCCGGGGGTGCCGAACCGTCTCGAACAGCTGCCGGAGAGCCGAGTTATGACCGAGAGCCGAGGGGCAACGCCAGGGGGGACAGGCTCAGAGGGAAATCGTCGAGGAGGAGGAGGTGGAGGGGGGAGGAGGAGGAGGAGGGAGGAGGAGGAGGAGGAGGAGGAGGAGGAGGAGGAGGAGGAGGAGGAGGAGGAGGAGGAGGAGGAGGAGGAGGAGGAGGAGGAGGGGAGGAGGAGGAGGAGGAGGAGGGAGGAGGAGGAGGAGGAGGAGGAGGAGGAGGAGGAGGAGGGAGGAGGAGGAGGAGGAGGAGGAGGAGGAGGAGAGGAGGAGAGAGGAGGAGGAGGAGGAGGGAGGAGGAGGAGGAGGAGGAGGAGGAGGAGGAGGAGGAGGAGGAGAGGAGGAGGAGGAGGAGGAGGAGGAGGAGGAGGAGGAGGAGGAGGAGGAGGAGGAGGAGGAGGAGGAGGAGGAGGAGGAGGAGGAGGAGGAGGAGGAGGAGGAGGAGGAGGAGGAGGAGGAGGAGGAGGAGGAGGAGGAGGAGGAGGAGGAGGAGGAGGAGGAGGAGGAGGAGGAGGAGGAGGAGGAGGAGGAGGAGGAGGAGGAGGAGGAGGAGGAGGAGGAGGAGGAGGAGGAGGAGGAGGAGGAGGAGGAGGAGGAGGAGGAGGAGGAGGAGGAGGAGGAGGAGGAGGAGGAGGAGGAGGAGGAGGAGGAGGAGGAGGAGGAGGAGGAGGAGGAGGAGGGGAGGAGGAGGAGGAGGAGGAGGAGGAGGAGGAGGAGGAGGAGGAGGAGGAGGAGGAGGAGGAGGAGGAGGAGGAGGAGGAGGAGGAGGAGGAGGAGGAGGAGGAGGAGGAGGAGGGAGGAGGAGGAGGAGGAGGAGAGGAGGAGGAGGAGGAGGAGGAGGAGGAGGAGGAGGAGGATGAGGAGGAGGAGGAGGAGGAGGAGGAGGAGGAGGGGGGGCTCAGCGAGCCCCACTCGCCCGTGGATCGCCGAGGAGGGCCCGAGAGCCCACCCCACCCAGGAGCGTGCGGCCTCGCCGTCGGGGGCCTCTCGCCGATCTGTCGGCGGTGCGTCGCCGATGCCAGCTTGACTCAGCTGGTCTTAAGTCGGGCCGGTCCCTCCACAGGAGGAATGTTCATTTTTTTTGTTAAAAAATACATAAATAATATGGGGACCATTTCTGGAACATTTTCAGCATTTTGGGGGTATGTTGTGAGTATCTGCGATTTTTCGCCCAGACTCTCCCTGTAGGGGGGCAGGCCCGGCCTGAAGCTGGCACCCCCCCGCCCGCGTGTCGTTTCCCCTCGCCGCAGGGCCCCGCGGGCGGGCCCGGGGGCCCGGCTCTGGCCTCTTCGCGGCGCGCCCAATCCCTCGGGGCGCGCGCCCGATGCTGCTGGTGATGGAGGCGGTGCGCATGCTCCCGTGCCCGTGGGCGTGGAGGATGCCGAGCGCAAGCGCGGCGAGCTCATCGAGCAGTCCGTGGCCGACCTCCCAGATGAGGAGCGGGGTGATGTGGGCGGGGGGCCCCCGCCCACATCACCCCGCTCCTCGAAGGCCAGGGCTTCCCCCCCAACAAAAAACATCTCTCGGTGGGTGACGCTGCCAGGGCGCGCGCTCGCGGCCGCCGCCGTCGTCGTTGTCGCGCCGCCGCCTCGTCGCTTCGTCGCGGCGCCGTCTCCGTCGTCGCTTCGTCGTCGCCCGACGCGGCCGCTTTGCCGCTGCGTCGTCGTCGCCGCTTCGCCGCTTCGCCGCTGCGCCGCTGCGCGGCTGCGCGGCTTCGCCGCTTCGCCGCTTTGCCGCTTCGCCGCTTTGCCGCTTCGCAAGCGTCGTCGCTGCTTCGTTGCGTTGCCGCCGAGCGCCGCCGAGCGCCTCGCTGGGCCCGTGGCGCGGCGCCGCCACGCCCCGGCGCGGGAGGGGGCCGCAGTTGAAGGGGCCTCGCCTTCGAGGGGTCGGGCCCTGAGACCATGGCGTGACGCGGCCAGCCCGTTCGGAAGCAGGGCGTGCGCGTGGCCGCCTCCTCGGGATCGACGGGCTGCACTCTATTTCCCGGCGGCTGGCGGGTGGCGGTGGGAACGCAACGGCGGCAGCTCCGCCAGTGGGAGCCAGCGGACATGAGAGCCCCCCCTCCAAGACGACGATAATTTTTTCGATTCGGTGTTTTTTCTGATGGGCCAGTATTCCATCACCACTGCCATACGCAGGACGAGGGAGACGGGAGGATGGGGAGGTCCTCCTCCTCCTTCTCCTCCTCTTTCTCCGCCTCCTCTTTCCCTCCGTGGCTATTTTGGCTCAAGCCATCTTGGCTCAAGGGGCCAGTCAGTCCAGGCACTGTGCATATTCTTGCATCTCTCTCCCGCAGCGGTTCCCGCTATTTTTTTCCATCTGCAGCCATCCATCGCGCGAGTGGTCGCCGTTCTTTCCGCTCAGTGGTGCGATGGCAGGCCAGAAGGCGCGCCCGACTGTGCGCTTGTCTTTGCTACTTGTCTGCAGCGCCATGAACGAAACAGTCTCGCTCGAGGCGGAATGTAACCGTCAAGCAACGCGTGTATTCGACTCGTTGACACATTCTTCCGACAGCGTGGGCTCGGCAACGTGAGCGCAGCATCGATTCGAGAAGTCCATTTTGGACACTTCAGGGAATGGGCGAAACACTGCCTTCGGGAGCTCGTTGAGCCCAACGTATGCAACAGGCGTAGTTGGACATGTCGTGTGTTTGAACGCCGAGGCCGGCGTCCTAGCGTACAACTCAACTCAATTTCGTGGCTGAAGGGCCCAGTGACCAACAGCACGGAGGTGTCGTGACAAGAGTTCGAGATCGCATTCCACATCGCGCTGGTGAGCCAAGGGTACCATCACGCCGAGTTTCTCTTTTCTTTTGATTCGACGAGCGACGCGACTGACTCGGTGAGACTGTCGTGGAAATCGCAAGGCTATTCCGCTCAATCGGCAATCAAATTCGGACCCGTCTCGACCACCGTATTCAGCGCAGGCAATGTGTGGAACAGCGCGTGGCACATTGTTAGGTTTTTAAACATCTGATCCATGCAGTACTTCAACCTTGACCGTCGACTTCGGTGGAACAATCTACTCGGCTGCGGTTGATTCGATTTGCGGCAGAGAGCTCCAGTTGAACCGCCATTGGTGGGACGGCGGATTGCACTGTCCATCGCGGATCAACGTGAAGGTCGACGACATGGTGATCACAAGCGGCGTCCCCGCACCACGCCCGACGTCCAGCCCGACGCCCTGTCCGACTCCGAACCTGACGCCCAGCCCGACGCTGTATCCGACGCCCAGCCCGACGCCCAGTCCGACGCCCAGTCCGGCGCCCAGCTCGACGCCGAACCCGACGCCGTGCCCGACGCCCAGCCCGACGCCCCGCCCAACGCCCAGCCCGACGCCCAGTCTGACGTCCAGCCCGACGTCGAACCCGACGCCGAACCCGACGCCGCATTCGACGCCCAGCCCGACGCCCAGTCCGACGCTTCCTGTCCGTCCCGCCGCGGGCGGCTCTGGAGGCGGGTCCGGGGCTGCCACAGGCGACCCACGCTTTCAAAACGTCTACGGCGAAAGGCTCGACCTGGTGAGGCCAGGCAAGCAGGTCTTGTCTCACACCCCACGGGGAGCGCACGTCCAGGGCGCCCTCCCTCGTGTAGTGGCCGACGCGCAGCAGCTGTGTGGGCACTGCGCAGACTTGCGTCTCCAGGAACAGGGGCGTGGGCCGATGCGGAGTGGACCAGTGGTCTCCGCTTCCACGCAGGGGGACGTGGGCGAGATGACACCGACGTGGGAGCACTTCGGGGAGATCGATTTCAAGGTTGCTCGTGGTCGCACGCAGCCGAGGCCCCAGCCCCTGAACTTCTACGTTCGGTACCTCGAGCGCGCTGGGTTTGCGGTGGGGCGTTCCTGGGAAAGGATGATGCCACGGAGGCAGCGGCGCCTTTGCAGGCGTGTGGTCGGCGCGCTGCCCTCTTTCACAAGTGACATCGGCGCGGTCACTGGGCCTCCGAATCATCGGTCGTAGAAGCCCGAGCCTTTTTACGGCGACATCTGGCACGTGCTCTTTCTGCACTCGCTCAGAAAAAAAGAGGATCTCCTGCATCAGGGCTCCGCGCCTCCGAGTCATCGGTCGTAGAAGCCCGAGCCTCTATGGCGACATCTGGCACGTGCTCGTTCCGCACTCGCTCAGAAAAACGGAGGATCTCCTGCATTCGGGCTCCGCGACCTCAGACCACCCCCTATGCAGCCTCCCAGGGGTGGACCTAAACGGTGTTTTGGCGATTTCGTGGGCCGTTTTCGTTTCGACCTCGTTTTGTGGTACGGGCGGATGGAAGTCAAAACGATGGAAGACGACAACAAAACGAAAACGAAAAGCACCGTTTGGGTTCAGCCCTGCAGCCTCCCTCTCTCCCCCACTGGAACGAGAAGCAAGTGAAGGAGGGGTACGAGCATGGTGCCGGCGTGCGGGGGGGGGGGGCGGGAGAAGCAACGCTAGTAGGCCCTGATACTTCTGTGCTGGGCTCGCGCCCTTTCGCACTGCTGTCGGTGGCTGCCTGTTGTAGAGAGCTTCCGATGCTTCTGCTCCGAACCCGCGCCAGTTTGCACCACTTTTAGTGGCCGTCCAGCCTCCAGGGCTTCTGAGGCCTCTGTGCAGGGCTCGCGCCAATATATGTGTCACCGCTCTCAGTGGCTGCCGGCTTTACAGGGCTTCTGAGACTTCCGTGCCTGGTTTGTACCAGCGTGCACCATTCTCAGTGGCTGTCAGGCAGCCTTCGGTTGCCACTCGGGCCACCACCTTTGAGGCTACTGCGTGGATCCTCCTCCGGTTACCTGTGGTAGTGGTGGTTGAAAATGGGCTTATCATTTTCGAACCATGGTCATGACGCGGCCAGCCTGAGCGAGAGTTGGATGCACACATGGCCGCCCGCCTTTCCAGCGCTCGGCCCTTCCATGGCTATGTCCGCCAGGCTACCACACGTGTACCCGGCGAGTGGCCTCTGGATGACACGCGTGAATCCAGCCAGGCGTGTGTGTTCCAGTTTCCGGGCATGTCCCTTGGTCCGTGCAGCCGTGTCTGGCTAGGACAGGGAGAACCGATGCACATGACGAGGCTGAGCTGGGCGAGACCCTCAAGTCCGTCGAAGAATCAAAATTGCCGCAAACACGGCCTTTTGGCGCTCCGCGGGGATTTCTTGGATCCGCGCATGGGCCCCCTCGGCTTAAATCGGGCGTGTCCCTCTGCAGGGGGAATATCCAGGAATAGTAAAAATGATGTGGGTAAGATTTTTCTGTTATTTTTGATTACTTTTGGATCTCATTTGAATTTTTAATTGTTCGTCCAACTTCCACCTGTAGGGGACATGCCCGACCTAATCCTTGGCGACGCCTCGGGCGCGACCCCGGGCGCGATCCGCGCGCCAGGGGGGGGGTCCAGCGCAGATCCAAGAAGTCCGCGCGGACCGTCGAACGTTTATGTCCATGCCGGTGTTTTTTTTTTTTTTTTTTTTTTTTTTTTTTTTTTTTTTTTTTTTTTTTTTTTTTTTTTTTTTTTTTTTTTTTTTTTTTTTTTTTTTATATATATATATATTATTTTATAAATTTTTTTTTGTTTGTATTATTATTATTATTTTTATTTTGAATATATATAATGTTTTTTTTGTTTGTTTGTTCATTATATAGGTAAACAACATCGAGGCGGTCGGTTTTCTATGCCTTCGGCCTCTGGAGGCCGCTTCCCGGCCCTGGCGACGGTCCCTGGGCGGAGGCCGAGATCCCAGGGGGCCCACGTCTCCTAAGGGCCTCGCCTTCTTGAGGGATCGGCGGGATGCTTTCTCTTCCTCGGCGGAAGGCGGCGGAAGCATCGAGCATGTGCAAAGCGTCATGGCTTTCCTATAGGCCCACCAAGCAATGTTTGAAGATCCTCTTGTGGTCTGCACGAAGTGTTCTTAGAACATTTCTGGCTGAAGCCGTCTTGTTGTAACACATTGGGAACACTTTTTGTGTTCTACGAACATGTCGTGGTAGGACTACAGGAGTGCAGGGACGGTCGGTCCCTGCTCAAAAGTAGCAAGGTGGCGGCTCCGCCAGTGACAGCTGGCGGAAGTAGATCCTCTTACAGTGCCGCCTCCGCAGAGGCAGGGGCGCGTGAGTGTGGAGTCGTGGTGCAGCTCCACCATCTGACTCTCGTGCCTGTCAGGGGCCCCATCGTCTAAAGTAGAATTTCAGATGCGCCGACTTTGGTAGGTTTCGTGTATGGCCCCACACGAAGCGTCCTGATGAGGGTAAATGGGCGCAGTGCTCTGACAAAAACAGTTAGTCAAACTGCTTCCCCCCACCCCAGACATTATAGTTTGTCAGATCCAAGGCCGTGGCATGACGTGGCTGGCCTGGGCGAGAGGTTCAGATACACACGTGGCCGAAAGTGTGTTCCAGCGCTTGGCCCTTCTATGGCCATGTTCGCCAGTACACCGCCTATATACCCAGCACGCGGCTTCCGGATGTTCCTCATGTGAATCCAGCCGCTTGCATTTCCAGCATTCGAATAATTAGGTCGACCCTGCAGAACTTAGGGCGCTCGTTCGCCAGGTAGGAGAGATAGCATCATCATGCACTTTCGTAGGTCCTCGCAGATCTCTTGGGTCTGCGCTGGACCCCCTGGCGGCGGCTGTGGCGCCGCCCCTTGTCGCGCCCCGCGCGACAAGGGGAGAGGGGTCCGGCGCCAACCCAAGACGTCCTGGCGCACGTGCTCGTGCGACAGGCTTCTCCAGCCCTTGCAAATTTGAGGGTGCTCGTGCGTCTTGGTTTTTTGATAGCCTGTCACGCCGTCGTCATGATCCGGAGCATGGGTGGCCCTCGGACTCCTCGGACAAGGCCGCTGTCCTCCTGGGGGTCCTCTTCCACCAGTCCCATTAGAACAACAATCATGCCGAATAGAAAGGGGCCTGCCTGCGAGTGCCCGATGAGAAGAAGCCCCATTAGAACTCGTCACCCTCCGATAGGCCTAAGAGCCCCTGGGGAACCTTGCCAAGCTTAAAGTCGACGAGCGATGACCCGTATGACCGGATTTGTTCGTGTGTCCATCGTGCCGCTCCTGCTGCATCCAACTCTGGCCATGGATAACAGTTCAGCCTCCACAGGCCAGACGGGGCCGATGCAGACCCGATGCGATGTGATCCGATTCGTTACTCCAGATTTCGTAATAAAAGGGAGGGGGTCTGGACCCTCCAAGACAAGCCATTTCAGACCTCCCCCGTGGGAGAACCCTCCAAAACATCGTCCCCAGACCCCCCAGGCCCTCCAAGATAGCCTGGAAGAGACCCCCCCCGAAATGAGACCCCCCTCCCTTTTATCACGAAATCTGGAGTACTTGCAGCCGCGATTCCGATTCGAGTCGGTTTGGTTCGATTCTGCGGCATCCGCTGGGGCTAAGTCCGGAGCTGGGCGCGGCGATCCGATTCGGGGCGAGTCGCGGGTGATTCGCTGGTGATGCGATCCGCTTCCGATGCGATGCTTCGCGGCTCGATGCAGCGCAGGCCCGCCAGAGGCCTCTCTCTGAGGGGCCTGGGCGCGAGCAGAGGTATAAAAACTCAGAGGGGCAGGAGGTCATGACAACGATACGTTCCAAGGTTTCCAGGGCCTCCGGGATCTCCTGATGTTCCCCAGGGGCTGCCACAATGAGGGCCGCTGGATATCCTGAAAATCCTGACACGTATCCTGAGCCAATCGTTGGGCCGGACGAGCCGGTAGGATAGGGAAAGGGGGGGGGTACGACATCAGCTGCATGCAGCTGGTTTCGGCCCCGCCGACGGGCCCATCCTTCGATACCTGGGCGCCTCCCAGCGCCAGGAGGCGCCTGGAAGACCAGCTACGTGAGCTGATTCTCTACCTTACCATTTGTTACCCTACCCTTTCGTCCCCCCCCCGACATCCTATCATGACATCATTCCCGTCCTGTACGATCAGACTGTACAATAAGGGCGCACGATAAGGATGCAGTGGCCTTGGAGGGCCATGTCGACACTCTGCGAGCGGGGCGCGGCCAGCGAAAGCGGCCAAGGATGTGCCGATCGAAGACGAACAAACGCAATCAACATATTTGTTTTGCGCTCCGCGCGGGTTTCTCGGATCTGCGCAGGGTCCCCCTGGCGCCAAAAGTTTATGCTTTTGCAGTTTTTCTGATTCTAAGGGTGCAGGAGCCGTTTCTTTAATGCTTGGGGCATGTAGGGCGTCATGGCCCCCGCTCCCCCCCACCCCCCTATGACGTGACGCTCCCCCCCCAGTGCGCTCCGGGCACTGCCGCCCTGCGCATTAGGATCCGCGTAGGTGTCCGCGCAGGAATCCGCACAGGATGGCGCCCTTCCAAGGCTACCCTTGCAGGGGAACCTCTTGGAAAGGCGCTCGTCCTTACCACGCGGGTTGACTGCGCACGTTGCTCGCAGTTTTCGTGGAGGGCCGCGGCGCCCGGGGCGCCCCTCGCCCGCGCGCGCGGGGTTCCGCGGGGCGCCTCCCGCCGCCGCGGCGGGAGCACCGAAGAGCAGACCACGGCACAACCGTTTCGTGTGAAATTAAAAAATGTGTGTCCCCCAGGGCCCTTTTACATTCAGTGGCCGTTTTCTGATTCATTCTTTTGCCGATCGGCGCGGGCCCTCGCATCCCTCCTTCCCCCCCTGTGGAGTAGATCTTGGCTATTTTTGGCGCCTCTGTCGAGCAGGTGGAGTCCCCCCCGTAGGACGCACTGCTGCAAACAGTCGCACCAAGCAGAGGTCCAGAGCCAGACCCCGCCCCCTCCCCCCTTCCCGCCCAGTGTCGTAACGCCGAATCTAAGAAAACGCTCACCAGGTCGACACTTCCAGATCAAGGGTGCCCCTGTGTCCTCCCCAGACTTCCTCTCGATGTGCAAACGTCGCGACGGGAGTTTTTGTTGCTACCTTCGGGCTCCGGGGGCCCTGGCTGGGCCTCGGGACCGTCAAAAACCGACTCAGGATGAAAAGCTGGCCCTGGGGAAGGGGTCCAGACTCCTGGGGGTCGACGTTGTGAAACATTCCAGGCGCTTCGCGTATCCCCACCAGTCGCTCCCCGCTTGCTGCGCGTGTAGTGCCCCGTCTCCGGCCTCTGCTTTTTAGGTCTCCGCTGGGATTTCTTGAAGGCGCGCGGCTCCTCCGCTTGCGCTCGTGAACAAAAAGTATCCCCACCAGCCCATCCAGAAACGATGTCCAGGCGAGTTGAGGTGATCAGGGAAGTGCGGGAGCAAAGAGGGGGACGGCCGAACCGTGCGAAGGATGGAGGAGGAGAAGGAGGAGGCTGGATGGATGGATGAGGGAGTGGGGAGAAGGAGGAGGAATAGGATGAATAGGATGATGATGATGATGATGATGATGATGATGATGATGATGATGATGATGATGATGATGATGATGATGATGATGATGATAATGATAATGATGATGATGATGATGATGCTGATGATGATGATGATGCTGATGCTGATGCTGATGCTGATGCTGCTGCTGCTGATGATGCTGATGATGCTGCTGATTATGCTGCTGCTGCTGATGATGATGATGGTGATGATGATGATGATGATGATGATGATGATGATGATGATGATGATGATGATGATGATGATGATGATGATGAGCAGGAGGAGGAGAAGGAGGAGGAGGAGGAGGAGGAGGAGGGGGAGGAAGAGTAGGAGGAGGAACGAGGAGCACGAGGAGGAGGGTGAGCAAAAAGGGTCCAGACGTCTGGGGGTCGACGTCGTGCAAAATAAAGCGCGCCGTCGGGGGTCTGGGCCTGCGGTCCTGGGGCAGCGCGGCCCTCGGAAAGGGTCTTCGTGTCCTCTCGCGCGCCAAGCCCTGGCAGCCTTCAAGGGAGGACACAAGGCCGTCAAGGACATCAAGCCTTTGTGGAGGACGATCAATGGAGAGGAATCGTGTTGCCAAATACTTTCCAGATGCTTAAAACATGCTTCAACATGTTTTGAGCATGTAATAAAACATGCTTGCAACATGCTTAGAACAGTTTTTTTACAACATTTTAAGCACATGTTTGATTCCAATGATCGGACTGTTAGGGTGTCCATTGTCGTGGCATCCACAAATCAAGCCCTTGATGGAAACCCAGCGCAGTCCTGGTCTCGTGCCTTCTTCCATCAAGCCCGACGTCGTAAACTTTCGGCGCTCCGCTCTGGTTTCCTGGAGCGACGCTCGGCCCCCACTGGTGGCGCCTCTAGCGCCGCCCCCCGGCGCGCTCCGCATACCAGAGAGCGGGGTCCAGCGCCGATCCAGGAAATCCGAGCGGCGCTCCGAAAGTTTATGATTTATTCAGTTTTAGTTCCCTGTGTAGATCTCTTGCAGGATTCTGGTCAAGCGCGCCACTGAGGAGGAGGGCCCATACGTCAAACGTCCAATGCTGGGATTTGCGCGAGTTTCGGCATCCAGGGGCTGTTTTCTGGTCTCTTGGCGATCCGAAAACGATTTGGGACGAACATGCGAAGCATTCTTGGAGAAGTGGGCGAGAGCTCGGGGGCCGTATATCGAACAAACACATGAGGACGAGCCCCCCAGAGGGGAATGAATCATGCCGTGGCGGCGCTGGAGCTTCTTGGGGGCCTCCCGTGGCGTCTTTGGGGGCCCCTGGGCTGTCAGGGGCAGGGCTCGGGATGAAGAGCCGGGTCCGGGGCAGGGCTCCAGAGCTCTGGGGGACCACGCTGTGATGAGATTGCATCGGCTAGGTTCAAGAGTGACCTTTCGCCGGGGTGACCTTTGGTGCGGGCGCAGATGGGTCCCCAGATGGCGGAAAACGAGGCAGGAACAGCGGCTTGCGCGCCCAGGTTTGGACCCCCCGCGGCCCCCCCAAAGCCGCGCACCAAAGGTCACTCTCTCCCAGGGTCACTCTTGCGTGTAGCCGGTTGCAGCGTCGGGCGTTTGGGAGGGTGGGTGAGTGGGAGAAGGGGGGATGGAGGGGGGGAGGGGAGTGGATGGGGAGGCAGAGGTGGATGGGGAGACCTCCTCGCGGCTCTGGACGTCTGGGGGGTCCTTTTTGGTGGCTTCCCTTGGACGCCCTCGCCGCCACCGCGGCGGCGCCACGGCCAGCTTCTGCTCGAGGCCCGGGCCGGAGCGCACCCCTCCGGGCAGGTCTGGGGGCCGATGTCCGACCCCGGCCAGGAGGGGGGGCGGCAGGGCGTCGGGGGATCTGAGAGGGAGGGCTGGAGGGCGCGTGGAGGGTTGGAGGGGGCGGCTCGGAGGGCTGGCGGAGGGTGGGGGGGGACTGGAGGGCTGGTGGAGGGGGGCTGGACGGTTGGAGGGCTGGAGGGCTGGAGGGCGTGTGGGCGTCGGGGGGGGGGGGAGTTGGAAGGTCCCAGACATGATCGCGTCGTTAAAACATGCAGCACGCAGCTTTTTCGCCGTCTTCGGCCTCTAGAGGCCCTCGCCGGGCCCCGGGACCGTCCAAAAAACAACTCAGGATGAAACACCGGCCCCGGGGACAGGGTCGGGATTTCCGGGGACGCCGCCCGGACAAAATCGGGACGGCGCAGGTCTGGTCTGCACGAACGAGGTGGACACGGAAAGAATGGGTACGAAGCCCAACAGCAGTCCCTGTTCATTTTGAACAAGACTCGCTGTCCTCGCCGCCGCGGCCCGTGTCCACTCGAGACAGAAGGCCGCCCGCCCAACAGCGGCCGCTGTTGGTCTGGGACCACATTTGTTGTTGGGCACTGTACCCATTCTTTCCGTACCCATTTCGGGCGTCCAAATAATCCACCAGGAGTGCAGCATAGGCACAGACACACAGAGACGTCGGCTCCCAGGAATCTCACATGGGAAGACGGGGGTCGTGCATAGAGGGGAAGACGAATGTCCAGAAAATGCGCGTAGACATGTATGAGGACCACTGCGACTCGTGTCCACTCATTCGCGCGTCCCTGGGCCCCGTTCAGTCCATCTCATTCGGATGCATCTCCTGGGATGCCACATTCTGACTCTGCCCTGGCCCGAAATCCATTCCGGGCGTCCAAATCTGGGGCTGGTGGAGGTCGGGGGGCTGGAGGCTGCGCTGCCGCTCGGCCGCGGCCGCGGCGGGGGGGCACGCGCGGCCCTCGGGCCGCGGGGCGGCGCCCCCGCACCGCCGGTGCGCACGCCGCCGCTTCCGCGTGTGCCTCCCCGGGCCCCGGCGTGCGGCGGGGCCGTGCGGGCCTGGGCGTCCCCCGCCGGGGAGCCGGGCCCTCGTTCGACTAGGCGTAAGAGTGACCTTTCGCCGGAGTGACCTGTGGTGCGGGTACGGATGGGCCCTCAGATGGCTGAGAACGAAGCGGTAGCAGCGGCTTGCGCGCCCAGGTTTGGTCTTCCCGCGGACCCCAGAATTCCGCGCACCAAAGGTCACTCTTCCCCAGGGTCACTCTTGCGTGTAGCCGACTCGTGCCGGAGGGGGGGTGGGGGTCGGGGGCGGCCAAGAGTCTCAAGCAGTGGCGAAGCGTCCTGGTTCGCCTAGAGCCCCCCCAAAGAGTGTTCTAAGAACCTTTTTTGTGGCTTCCATGGGATGTTCTTATAATATTTCTGGTGGAGTCTGTCTTGTTTGAACACATCGGGTTTATGTTCTAAGAATATTGTTTAGGTTCTAAGAACATTTCTGGGTTCTAAGAACATGTCGTGGTATGACTATAGGAATGCCGGGACGGTCGGTCCATGCTCAAAAGAGGGGGGGGGGACGGCTAGGGGTGGGTGGGGGTGGATATCATGGCGGGGGCCATGATGTCTCCCCAGAGTTCCTGGCGCCTCTTCTCGTTGCAGGACGTCCCGGGCCCCCCCCCCTGGGCCGCGCGCGTGCCGCCGGTCATGATTTGCACGGTCATGATTTGCACCCCCCCCCTCTCTTGGGCACCCCCCTTCTTGGCCGCCCCCGAGTGGAGGGGGAGGGGGGGCGGGGGCGGAAATGGAACGAATTACAACCGACTAGTCCCAATTCCAACCGTTCGGAGCGAATTGCAACCAGAAATGAGACCAATTTCAACCAGAAATGAGACCAATTACAACCATGGATGGGATCTTCGAAATTCTTCAGGATTCCTTAGGATTCTTCGGAATTCCTCGGGATTCCTTCGGATTCTTCGGAATTCCTCAGGATTACATCGGATTCTTCGGAATAACGCAGGAACCTTTCGGATTCTTCGGCATTCCTTAGGATTCCTTCTGATTCTTCGGACTTCCGCAGGATTCCTTCGGATGCTTCGGAATTCTTCAGG